CTTCTAAGATCAAAGGATGTATAGTGTGAAAAGTTAACTAGTAGAACAATCGTATTTCCGGGACCTGCCGCGGATGTTTTCAAACAGATTATTAGAACTCCATTCAGCGATAAACCGTTGATTATGCAATGAGAAGCGTTATGTGCAAATAAACAACGAACAACAATACAATCATGTCTGTGTAAAACTCTCAGTATTAAAAGTGTACATAAATTTTGGGAGCCATGCGTTACCGCGCGTAATAACCGAAGTAGCGCTTTATCGAAGAGCGCAATAGCGAGCGATCACTGTATATGTGTTGTGTAGGGCATATAGGCTGTATTGACCTACATGTATATATGTGTTGTGTAGGGCATATAGGCTGTATTGACATATGTGTATATATGTGTAGTGTAGGGCATATAGGCTGTATGTGTTGTGTAGGGCATATAGGCTGTATTGACATATGTGTATATATGTGTAGTGTAGGGCATATAGACTGTATTGACATATGTGTATATATGTGTTGTGTAGGGCATATAGACTGTATTGACATATGTGTATATATGTGTTGTGTAGGGCATATAGACTGTATTGACATATGTGTATATATGTGTTGTGTAGGGCATATAGGCTGTATGTGTAGTGTAGGGCATAGAGACTGTATTGACCTACATGTATATATGTGTTGTGTAGGGCATATAGCTGTATTGAACTACATGTATATATGTGTAGTGTAGGGCATATAGCTGTATTGACCTACATGTATATATGTGTAGTGTAGGGCATATAGCTGTATTGACCTACATGTATATATGTGTAGTGTAGGGCATATAGCTGTATTGACCTACATGTGTATATATGTGTAGTGTAGGGCATATAGGCTGTATTGACCTACATGTATATATGTGTAGTGTAGGGCATATAGCTGTATTGACCTACATGTGTATATATGTGTAGTGTAGGGCATATAGCTGTATTGACCTACATGTATATATGTGTAGTGTAGGGCATATAGCTGTATTGACCTACATGTGTATATATGTGTAGTGTAGGGCATATAGGCTGTATTGACCTACATGTGTATATATGTGTAGTGTAGGGCATATAGGCTGTATGTGTAGTGTAGGGCATATAGGCTGTATTGACCTACATGTATATATGTGTAGTGTAGGGCATATAGGCTATATGTGTAGTGTAGGGCATATAGGCTATACTGACCTATATGTATATATGTGTAGTGTAGGGCATATAGGCTGTATTGATCTACATGTGTATATGTGTTGTGTAGGGCATATAGGCTGTATTGACCTACATGTATATATGTGTAGTGTAGGGCATATAGGCTATATGTGTAGTGTAGGGCATATAGGCTATACTGACCTATATGTATATATGTGTAGTGTAGGGCATATAGGCTGTATTGATCTACATGTGTATATGTGTTGTGTAGGGCATATAGGCTGTATTGACATATGTGTATATATGTGTAGTGTAGGGCATATAGGCTGTATTGATCTACATGTGTATATGTGTTGTGTAGGGCATATAGGCTGTATTGACATATGTGTATATATGTGTTGTGTAGGGCATATAGGCTGTATTGACACATGTGTATATATGTGTAGTGTAGGGCATATAGGCTGTATTGACATATGTGTATATATGTGTAGTGTAGGGCATATAGGCTGTATGTGTAGTGTAGGGCATATAGGCTGTATTGACATATGTGTATATATGTGTAGTGTAGGGCATATAGGCTGTATTGACACATGTGTATATATGTGTAGTGTAGGGCATATAGGCTGTATTGACATATGTGTATATATGTGTAGTGTAGGGCATATAGGCTGTATTGACATATGTGTATATATGTGTAGTGTAGGGCATATAGGCTGTATTGATCTACATGTGTATATGTGTTGTGTAGGGCATATAGGCTGTATTGACATATGTGTATATATGTGTTGTGTAGGGCATATAGGCTGTATTGACACATGTGTATATATGTGTAGTGTAGGGCATATAGGCTGTATTGACATATGTGTATATATGTGTAGTGTAGGGCATATAGGCTGTATGTGTAGTGTAGGGCATATAGGCTGTATTGACATATGTGTATATATGTGTAGTGTAGGGCATATAGGCTGTATTGACACATGTGTATATATGTGTAGTGTAGGGCATATAGGCTGTATTGACACATGTGTATATATGTGTAGTGTAGGGCATATAGGCTGTATTGACATATGTGTATATATGTGTAGTGTAGGGCATATAGGCTGTATGTGTAGTGTAGGGCATATAGGCTGTATTGACATATGTGTATATATGTGTTGTGTAGGGCATATAGACTGTATTGACATATGTGTATATATGTGTAGTGTAGGGCATATAGGCTGTATTGACACATGTGTATATATGTGTAGTGTAGGGCATATAGGCTGTATTGACATATGTGTATATATGTGTAGTGTAGGGCATATAGGCTGTATGTGTAGTGTAGGGCATATAGGCTGTATTGACATATGTGTATATATGTGTTGTGTAGGGCATATAGGCTGTATTGACATACATGTGTCTATGTGTAGTGTAGGGCATATAGACTGTATTGACCTACAATATATATGTGTAGTGTAGGGCATATAGGCTGTATTGACATACATGTGTATATGTGTAGTGTAGGGCATATAGACTGTATTGACCTAAATGTATATATGTGTAGAGTAGGGCATATAGCTGTATTGACCTACATGTGTCTATGTGTAGTGTAGGGCATATAGCTGTATTGACAAACATGTGTATATGTGTAGTGTAGGGCATATAGACTGTATTGATCTACATGTGTCTATGTGTAGTGTATTCTGCTCTTCATGAAGCTGGTTTACCATGCTGCAATGTGTGTCACATTTGAACATACTCCCTGCATCTTTAAATGTAGTGAACACAAGTTGGCAGATGATAAAACAAAAGCATGTGGGTTTTTTTTAAAATTACAAAAATACTTTTGTAATGTTTGCAGTTCTGTAAACCGATTTGCAAAAAGTATCACCTCTATATAGTGAGGAAACATGGACACACAGTTGTAGAAAGTTGGGAAGTTGAACGAGTTCAGTCGATGGATGCCATTACGGAGGCATTACAGCCGCAGGTGAGACGGACCGGTTGAGGAACTGACACACAAAATCAGCAGCTAATGTGCATGTTCTGGAGAACACTGTGTGAATAGTGTCGACGTAGTCCCTGCCTGTGTTACAGCCGGTGCTGACAAACTCCTGCACTCAGCTCACCCAACACAAAACAATTTCCACTACTTCACATTCTTATGGTGCTGAAGCTGAATAACACAACTCTCAGCACGTGCTTCGGTGAATTTTAAAGAAGTTAAAGAACCCAAGATTTCGGAAACCAAATCAATGAATTCCCAATTACGTTCAATGAAAGCAACACACACATAGAAAGGACGTCGAGCTTGATTTAGTATCCCAGCAGTTTGCCCGACAGATTACCCAGCCATGCTTTGATCCCTCGATATGCGATAATTCCATTTTACGATTATTTCAACTGAACCGTGAATATTAGATCATTTCTAAGGAGGGCTGGCTACAGGTGGCTTGAATGCCTTCAGTCTCACAACAAGCTCTCTTCTGAACATAGCTAACGACCCGTGGAATATCGCGCAGCGCATGGAGTGCTGGTGCTTACCGGCTGCTCTACATGCTGGCATGATCAGTGAGATGGTCCAGAAGCCATTACCAGGGATTACCACAGACTCAGAGCAACCCTAAGTGAGAAGATTAAAACATGGAGGTGGTGTCTGACGTCTTAAGAGTCACAAAAGAGTTTCCAATATGAGCTTAAGGATCAGTTAGCTATTATCGAGAAGTCTGCGTATCAACACTGTGTGACCTCAAGAGTGATGAGGATCTGGAGATGCCTGGAGAAGAGCCTGGCACATGCTGATTGGCATTTGAACTCACATTATGGTGATGTCAAGTCGCAAGAGGGCCACAGGTGGCCCAGCTGACGAAGCCACCACAATTTGCTGTGCAGTGTTGCTTCCTTAGCTTGACCAGAGGATGTGCTAATCAAAGACTCGAAGCCTAGATTCCCCATGAGCATGATGGTTGGTTTGTCAGTGCATTATGACTGCTGTGGGTTTCACCATCTGTCTCCCCGGTGCAACAACTAACCCACCACACATGTACGCGAACCTACTCCACTGCAACAAGTGAAAGACTGACTGCTGAACATTTCAGCCAGCATTCTTTGATTATTCATCATGATGAACACAAGAAGTAAGATGGGGGAAGAAGACAAGACATGAGTGAGTGAGTGAGTGAGTGAGTGAGTGAGTGAGTGAGTGAGTGAGTGAGTGAGTGAGTGAGTGAGTGAGTGAGTGAGTGAGTGAGTGAGTGAGTGAGTGGGTGGGTGGGTGGGTGGGTGGGTGGGTGGGTGGGTGGGTGGGTGGGTGGGTGAGTGAGTGAGTGAGTGAGTGAGTGAGTGAGTGAGTGGGTGGGTGGGTGGGTGGGTGGGTGGGTGGGTGGGTGGGTGAGTGAGTGAGTGAGTGAGTGAGTGAGTGAGTGAGTGAGTGTACAAATTTACGCCGCTTTTAGCAATATTCAGGCAGGGGACACCAGAACACACATTGTACAGATGTGGGGAATCGAACCCAGGTCTTCGGCACGACAAGTCAATGCCTTAACCACTAGGCTACCCCAACCCGTGAAAGCTTGAAACTGTGGGCAAAAAATATCTTAATCAGAAATTATGTTCAAACTGCAGGTGTGAAGAAGAAAAAGACCCTACCAAAAAACAGTCGTGAAACATAAGATTTGAAAACGTATAGATCATATGACTCGACTCATAAACCTATGGACCTTGCTACTATCAGGTTGAACATTTCAAATTAAGTTTTTTTCCCAAAGCCTCCAGTCAGAGTCTCCACTGTTGTCCTAACCTTCAGCAGATTTCTTTACTGGGCTCATAGTGGACTGCAAACATGGAAAATGATAACTTACTTTTTTCTTTTTCCTCATCAGCACTTTGACTCCATCTGTCGAGACAGTGATCACCACTTTCTTCTTCTTGATCGCTTTGGCTTTGAATTCATACTGAAACAAACGAACAATAATCAATATACATTCTGTCAAAAACATCACAGGAATATCTGCTAACACCATTTGTTTGTTTGTTGTTTGACGCCGCACTCAGCAATATTCCAGGTATATGACGGCGGTCTATAAATAATCGAGTCTGGACCAGACAATCCAGTGATTGACATCATCAACATCCTGTTAGTCGTTTCTTACGACAGGCGTAGTCGTCTCTTACGACAAGCGTAGTCGTCTCTGCAACCACTGTCACGGCGTGATCTGAGGCATGGCTTCCACCATGTAGCAGCACTACAATGTATACTCAGTAAAAATGTAAATGTGCTGCATATCAAGTTCAATAACAAAAAATGTATTCTGAAATCAAATATTTTCAATGTATTCATGAAGACATCTCGACTTTAAGGTCGTGATTCCCAATTTGCATGTGCATGTGTTCATGCACAGTACACAACTGGGTGTTGCTTGTTTTTTTTGGAGTTTGATACTTATACTCGTTTTTTAAATGTGAACAGCACACAATGTTTGTTTAGCTATCAGGTGCTCATCAAAAGACATTTGTTTAACTGTAAATAACGCTTACGCAATGCCATGGCACACTGAAAATCAATGTCTACATGACATGGGTATGGCGCAAAATGAGGCTGAAAGAGATTTTAACATTCATCGAAACATATCATTTTTTGTTTGGAGACATTATCTTGTGTCTATGTGTAAGAGCTTGTATTGTGATGTAGAATGTGTTTGAGGGGGGCCATGAGCACCAGGGTCAAGATTGGAACACTCCAAGATGTCAGTTGAATGACTCCTCAAAACTAAAGAGAACCTGTCATGTCCTGTCTCACAAGAGGATTTTCCACTTTTTCTTCTTCTTTTTTTTGTTTGTTTATTGTTTAATGCTGCACTCAGCAATATTCCAGCTATATGACGGCGGTCTGTAAATAATCGAGTCTGGACCAGACAATCCAGTGATTGACATCATGAGTATCGATCAATGCAAATGGGATACGATGACATGCATCAACCAAATCAGCGAGCCTGACTACCCGATCCTGTTAGTCGCCTCTTACTAAAAGCATAGTCGCCTTATACAGCAAGCAATGGTTGCTGAAGACCTATTTTACTCAAGATCTTCACGGGTCATTAAGATTTCTCATACTGACATTTAGTTCCACGTTTGATGATGCTGTGGACATGTGAAGGTTCTACACTCTATGGGGGTATCTACTGTCAATTGGGGGTATCTACTGTCTATTGGGGGTATCTACTGTCAATTGGGGGTATACAGCAAGGTCTCAATACAATACGTATCACGATACATAGGTCACGATACGATACGTATTGTGATACACATATTTACAGCAAATCACATGGAAACGTCTCGACAATAAATATTTCAGAACAGGTTCAAAAGAAAAAGCTAGCTGTAGACACATGTTCGAAGCAGCATTCTTAGTAGTGAACTTGAAACACTAATTACAACACATTTTGCAGATCTAACTTACAAAAACGCCAGGGGTCATTAAATAAGTAATTTACTTCAGCAAGGGTATCGTCTTGTATTGATACAGAAAAAAATGTATCATGTATCATATCGTCGCATGAAAACGTGCAATGCACCGGTGCACTGATGTATTGTTTCACCGCTACTGACTACACTGCCCATACATAACAATTCCACAAATGAATATTAGCGTATTTTTCGGAAAGTATGAAATTATGAAAGGATGCATGATTCCAGCTCAGGTGAACATCGAGTTCTCCCCAGTTCCTTCCAACGACAATTAGATGACTTCTCTAGCCCCTAGAGACCCAAACCTCCCATGGCAATTTCTCCATCAGTTAATAAACTGCACAAAAAAACCTGGTATGGAATCATTTAGAAATGCCCTGTTTCCTCCCAAATTACTAATAATGTATTGAATAGTGCTTATTTCACTGAACCAAAAACACAGCCATGGCCTTCAGGAAAGTAGTATTTCAAACCATGGCCTTCAGGAAAGTAGTATTTCAAACCATGGCCTTCAGGAAAGTAGTATTTCAAGCCAATTGGCCTTCAGGAAAGTAGTATTTCAAGCCAGGGACTGCAGCATGCAGACCAGGAAGTGCTTCTAGGTTTTCAAGGACTTGTGGGTAATTGGTCTTGTTCAATGTCTGCCCCATGGCATTATGGGAACATGTTCATGAATTGTACGTCATTAGCGGTGGACATTATTCAGATAGTAATTGGGTTAAGTGGTAATATTTTTTGCCTTCTTATCAAATTGTTTCTTTCTTATTTGATTAACAAGAAATTGGAAAATATTGTTATGAAGAACTCTGTAAATAATCTGTAAGTTAATCAGCACTGAGGCACAGAGGATCCTATTGGCCAAGAGACGTCGTGTTTGTGTCGGTCGCGTTTCTCGCTCTGGCTAACTAGGCACAAGTATTGCAACATTGAAGTAATAGACTGTAGGAATGGAAATGTGTTAGATACAGTTCCGAATACCTGGGCCAGTTGTTTGCAAATATGTCAAATCTGGACTAGCTCTGATTATGGCTGTCAACATGGTCTGGTTGACATCAGTTGCCTAGAGGTTAAACGACAAAAGCAGCACAAAACCATACTCACTCACTCACTCACTCACTCACTACATGCAACTTGGATTGTGTAATATGTCCTCCCATGTTTGAAGTTGACGGGGGGGGGGACGGGTCAGGGCGGGTCAGGGCGGGACAGGGATGGGACGGGACAGGACAGAAAGTCATGTTGGAGTGTTCATCAGCTCGCTGAATGAGTGTGACTGTTATGTAACAGAGCCATACAGCTCACTGACAGAACCCACTCCATACATCTTGTAACTCTCACCTTTCTGTAAAATCCTTCTATTTGATTTAAGACATCAAAGGCTTAAGGCTTAATAAGTCTGTTCAATGACATTAATTTTAAAGCTGTCAACACCAACGTGTTCTTTGATCATGTGGTCCCTTCAAGGTCAGTGTGACCTTGAAAAGACATGCATCAATTCATGTCCCAATCTTTTATTTTCTTTCTTTACGAGTTTCAAGTCCGATAAAACATGGATGATTATTTGATCTTATTGAAATTGCCATGTGATATAACAATCTCCACTCAATATGGGATTTTATGATTCGCTCCGTAATGTAAAGAAAGTTTTTTTTAGCTTTTGATGGATCATTTTTCTATGAGAGCCCTTCAATAACCCAGTTAATGTTGCCGTTATACCATAAGGGAAATTAGCCTTCCTTGTTATACCATGGGAAATATGTCCTTGTTATACTATGGGAGATATGGCCTTGCTAGAACATGGGGAGAATGGCCTTACACCATAGGGAATATGGCCTCGTTATACTATGGGGAATATGGCCTTGTTATATCATGGGGAATATGGCCTTGTCATCATCAGGACAGACAATAGTAGGTACTAAACCCTTTATCAGCCAGATGAATTACCCTGTCAGAAACCTTCAAACTAATTCTGTAATCATCGAACATTTCTGTTGTGATAACACACAGATGATAACACACTTGTCCTGCAGAGACTGTGTAAGTAAGAGAGGGTGTTTTATGTCCAGTATTGGTACTGTGCAAGGCGGCTGTCCAGTATTGGTACTGTGCAAGGCGGCTGTCCAGTATTGGTACTGTGCAAGGCAGCTGTCCAGTATTGGTACTGTGCAAGGCGGCTGTCCAGTATTGGTACTGTGCAAGGCAGCTGTCCAGTATTGGTACTGTGCAAGGCGGCTGTCCAGTATTGGTACTGTGCAAGGCAGCTGTCCAGTATTGGTACTGTGCAAGGCGGCCGTCCAATATTGGTACTGTGCAAGGCGGCTGTCCAGTATTGGTACTGTGCAAGGCGGCTGTCCAGTATTGGTACTGTGCAAGGCGGCTGTCCAGTATTGGTACTGTGCAAGGCGGCTGTCCAGTATTGGTACTGTGCAAGGCAGCTGTCCAGTATTGGTACTGTGCAAGGCGGCTGTCCAGTATTGGTACTGTGCAAGGCGGCTGCCAGTATTGGTACTGTGCAAGGCAGCTGTCCAGTATTGGTACTGTGCAAGGCGGCTGCCAGTATTGGTACTGTGCAAGGCGGCTGCCAGTATTGGTACTGTGCAAGGCAGCTGTCCAGTATTGGCACTGTGCAAGGCGGCTGTCCAGTATTGGTACTGTGCAAGGCAGCTGTCCAGTATTGGTACTGTGCAAGGCAGCTGTCCAGTATTGGTACTGTGCAAGGCGGCTGTCTCGTACTGGCAGTTGTTGGGGCCTATCTGAAAACTAATTGTCAACTTTCCTAAACTTTCCCAATAAAGTGCCGAGTTAATCAGCCTGGGTGTTGAGTTTAATATCCTCAGGTCCTCATGCTTGAACTGCGAGAAAATCAAAGATTTCAGTCCAATAATGGCCAGAGTCCTGCAGAGTTGCAAGATATATTTTCCCCGTAAAAGCTGTTGATGAGATAAAACCATTCCTTGATTGGGGTTTATTTTCAGGTGTAGACGTTGCTGTTGATCTGGAAACATTGTGTAGTGGGCCGTGCTTGATAAAGTGACATGCTGCCTGTTTAGGGGGGAGTCGAAGTGAGAAGTGAGAGCAGACGACAGTCAGCTTGCTCTTCCTCCTGCATGGCTACATATATCTCTCTGGTCAAATCACGACTAACACATTGAATGTGTGACGCATTGTGACTGTCCAGTGAGATTGGGACTCAAGCTGTGCACATCATCATCACATCAATTAAAGTTTTCCACAGACTTGACTTGCTCTACCTTCGAGGAGGGTTAATGTGACGGGATATTTTGTCAATTTGTATTCCCATCAAAGCTTGAGAGGGTTAACGCATCAAGTGATACTTTTCACATTAGTTTGCTGACAAATAGCATAAAATTCTAATCGCCACCAAGCAAAGGACGTCCATTTCCATATTCACCCCCGTCTCCATTCCAAATTTCACTAATGGTGCTAATTTGTCAAATCTGGTGGTGATTTTATGGATTTTCCGAGG